TTTTAAAGTACTTAACAATGATGGTATGGAATGGAGTCCCCAGATGCCTGTTGTTCTCCCTGCTCCACTTTAAAAATATCATTTTAATTAAAATGTAAGTGCCATCTTGGGGTGTTTGTAGCTTGGTGCTTTCTTTGAAAGTGGGCCTATCTGCCAGGAAAAAAAGACTGTATCTTGAGGATTGGAAAGTATATTGGAGAACAAATTCACCACTTTGCCGTACAGGAAACTGATGGTTTACATCACATCTGCTCTGATAGCCCTGTGGTGAATTTTCAACTCTTGAATTGAATTCTGAAAGAACACTGGTGAATAGGGATGGGGGATGGGGAGAGGAAGGTTTGAGTAATGCTATACATTAAATATCACAAAATACTGTACAACTGTCCTAAAAGTATTTACTGGTAAACATTCAGGCAATCCTATATCGAATTCTGGAGTCAATAACTTATTTTATGCTTTCAATATAGCTCTTCCTTGGCACTAAAAATACTCATGTTATTGCTGCCTCTGTTGTTGATCCTACTTGTATTGGCATGTAAACCTCTTATGCCAAGGGGGCAAACTATTAACATAATCTAGTGAAACCTGTTGGGGCTATAATGTAACAAGTTTCATTGTTGTTAAATATTATTATTGTAATATTCCACTTTATCAAAGTTGATCAGAATTGACTGCACCAATATAACTTCAGATAATAATGCCCCTAGTATGTTTAGAAAAAATAGCTGCCATTCATAACAAAATTTTGAGGGAGCTTAGTCAGTTGTCACATAATTGTTCCAAGTGTTAAGGATAACTTTCAAGGAAGTTTACAATCAGAAGATATTTACAGTGGAACCTTGTTTTCATGAACTTTGAATCAGTATTTTGGATATAATTAACAATACTTGTCTAAAGCAGCCATCAAAATCCTGTTTAGCATATTAGTGGAGATAATGCTCAAGTGTTTTACATGGACTTTTATACATTCAAAAAATCCTATTTGCCATTTAACAAACAGCCAGCTCCCACTGATGACACCCCTTTTTCCATTAGTGTGTTAAATTGAAGATTTACATTATTGTTTTGTTAAAACCTTAAAAAAACATCCAGAGGACTGAGCAATGTTTCCAGAATTCAGGTTTTAGCTCTCCCTGCCACTTCCCAAACTACTGCCTGTGATTTATTATTTCAGTAATTTGTATGGTGAGAGTTCACAGGCCCATACAGTGCTTGCTTGTATGAATGCTCAATTGTTTTATGTTCGTCACAGTGCAGAACCTTTTCAACTCAACTCCAATTGATACTTTTGCATTATGTAATTTTTTTTCTATCCTGTAAGATTTTTTTTTTAATCTCAAAAGTAATAAGATTATATATGCCAAACCTTGTATATGTATTTTCTGTGTATAGCATAGCTAAAAGGCAAGATTTACTTTTGGAAAAAAATCCTGTTTGACTGTATTCTGTAACTAGAATTTATTTAAACTTAAAATATACTTCCTTGTAGGCACAGGGTGGATAACAAAGAATTATAAAGCATGAAATCCAAATTATAAGGGGTCTGTGATTTAATTATGTGAATGGATTACACTTGTGGCTTTAAACATGTGTTGGACAAATATTCATAGATGTATCCTGTGGTTTTGTTGCTGCTTTCCATAATACACAATTACTTTACAAATTAATAGAACAATGCCTTCAGTTATCTCCTGATCAGACCCAAAATAGCAAAATATAGTTTCAAATTTCTAAAAATCTAAAGAGGTTTAGATATATTGTGTTAAAAAGCATGGTTTTCAGCAGGGAATTTCCTACAAATAGCTATGGCTTAGACAATGCATGAAATTTGCAAGGAGTCTTGCAAAGAAAAACTTTCAGCCAAGAATGCTAAGTCTCTATGACTTTTTATAATTGCCATAAATGTAGTCTTTTGATTTTTCTTTTGGTTTTGCAGTTTCCAGATAATAAAAATTGGACCTTTAGGAAAAAATGTAGATAATAACAATTAAATTCTCTATTAAAAGCAATAACAGGATAATTCTTGTTTCACACTTCAAATTGTCAGAACTCTCCTGATTTTTTTATGGCTAGTCTGTGCTCTATGAAATTATTTTTGTTGATTTAATCTTGTGTTAAGAAGTACTATAACTAAAGTATGGGGGAAATATAATGAAAGCGGTGTCAAGCAAGGCCACAGCTCATCCTAAGTCAAAGCCTGCCAATAGGGACCAGAGGGAGGTGCATCTTTGGCAGAGGAACAGCTATGAGTGTAAACTTGTGAAATGTTGACACAGCAGTGAAAAGAGTTGGCCCTGCAGCCTCCTCAGGATATGAATTGAAATGATGGGTTCTTCCTTTCCATCTGCTGATTAATGCTTTCCCCTCTCACCCTGCAACACAAACACTTAAAGATTGTTTCAGCTATTTCATGGATAAGAAATCAGAGTAAATCATTTGGGTGGAAACTTTGTTAACGGCTAAAAATGACATAAATCAAATGAAGCCCAGTGAAATTTACTTCTGCTTAACACAGTTCCTTTAACCTAACAGCTAGCAGTAAAACAGAAACAAAAGCAGAAGTACAGACATGTGTTTGTCAGAAAATGATCCTTTTCTACATCTGTATATACTCTGCTGGTCCTGAAGTTTTAAAAGCTGAAATGGCCAAAGTGATGTCTAAATATCTCGCATAAGATAGATAGATAGATGGGTAGGTAGGTAGGCAGGCAGGCAGGCAGACAGGCAGGCAGGCAGGCAGGCAGGCCTATTTTGTGGGGCAATTGTGGGGAAACTAGTGTCACGTTCACAAGCTTTTATTTTCTTCATATTTTGATTAAATTTATATGTTTGTGTCATTGTAACTATAGATTCAGAAAAATGGCTCTAGCCATTCAAACATGCAAGTAGTATGATGAATTAATGTAACTGGGTGGATACTGTTGTGCAAAGCAAGGTCACTTATGCAAAGCAATTGTTCATGTGATTCCAGGTAGCATAGATCATGACAGACTGAATCACTGTTTCAGCTATAGTTGTTTTAAGAGGTGACAGGCACCAAAGCCATCACATCACTGATTTGCTCATGAATGTATTTGACTTTAGATATCCTTTCTGAATCAGGAATTGAGTGTGGGGTGACAGTGGGAGAAGCTGAGACCCTTTCAATTGTCACCAGAATACACCTCCTGCCCATTGGCCATTCCATCTGCAGTGGAGGACATAGGACTGAACAATATGACCTGGACTTCACCTGCTATAACTATAATCTCTATGCATTTTGTTTTGATATTAACTTTATTCTTATCTTCTGCTTACTCTTCTCTGTCTTTTTATAAAGCCAACCTTTGTGCTCAATGTTCTATCTGACCCTGAACTATGAGACTGATTATAATTATCAGATGTTTCTACACGAATGCCTTGGCATTACAATCAGTGTTACCTGTTCACTGTTTAACAGAGAGTGATGGTATTATTTAACATATACAGGAAGTATAGAAGATGGTATGTTGTTATTGGCATTGCCTGACTTTCTATCCATGCTGTATTATGGGACAGATGATGTGGGCTATTTTGCAAGCCACATCCAAATTTTTCAGATCAACCTTTTAGGTTTCAATTTCTATGAAATATTTACTTAAAGCAAAGATAGTTTGTTTATTGAAGAGATTATTCAAGTCTGTTTCATTCCTTTTCACTGAAGGAATGAATCCTTTTCAATGGATTCATTGTTTGTGTATTTTGTGGCATTGCTGTCCCATCATTTTCTGAAGCCTAAGGAGGTGTACGTGAAGGTCTAACCTTATTTTATCACCAGAAGAAAAGTCTTGTGCTGAGATATATGTCTGGCCAAAGTCATGCAGTAAACTAGGTGGCTGAATAAGGCTTAAAAATGGTCTTCGCCAGCCCAGTCAAATGCTTCAACTACTAGACTATTTTACATTGGTTTTCTCTCTGCTGGAATGTGTGCACATGCCTCTCTCAGAGAATTAGCACAATGATGTAAACTAAAACCAGGACGATTGGGTTCAAACTCACTCTCAGCCATTAAATGATGCCAGGTCAGTGACATATCTTATCCCGCAAAGTTATTTTACTGTGAATAAAATATAATTGATCCCCATGTGCCTGGAGCTCCTGGAGAAATGGTGGCTATATAAATAAATAGGCCAATAAGAAAAGGTGTAAGTTGCCTCAAAGTACTGACTGTGCAGAACAGTAGTTGATTTTCTTAAATAATGTTACTGGATAAATGCTTGGAAAAAAATGCTTTAAAAATCACAGAATCTAATTTGCTTTTGATACTGAAAATCAAATTTCAGTAATCAGTAATAAATATAGACAGTTTGATCTTTGAGATTTGACCGGATAATATAAAATTGATTTTAACAAACGAAGCAAAGAAAAATAACTGGAGAGGTCCAGTTTCATGTAAGGCAGTGTTTCCCAAACTTGACAATTTTAAGGCACGTGGACTTCAACTCCCAGAATTCCACAGCCAGCGTTGCTGGCTGTGGAATTCTGGGAGTTGAAGTCCTCATGCCTTAAAATTGTCAAGTTTGGGAAACACTGATGTAAGCTAATCCAAATAGAGTGAACATACAAGCACTCCACTGTGGTTCTATTGTTTTGATTTTTTTTTTTTTTTAGCATTACTCTGCCCTGCAAGAGATGATGACACTGGTTGTTTTTAAACACAACAACAGGATCAACCCACCCACCCTTTCAAATTTAGGTTATTAGTTTCTGCATATAAGGGTTTTATTATATTTTTCCAAATGACCTCAGAATTAAATTATTTACCATGTATTGCTGCTTTTCTAGTTTCTAAAACCCACAATTATTGAACATTTTATATTTGTGCTGGTAGTAAGTACATTTTCTTTGCAATTTAAAACTATCTACTATGGCCATGTTTATCATTACACAACAAACATATGAAGAATTGGAAAAAACACATTTTCTCTCTTTTTAATATATTTTGCTGTGTTTTGAATGATTGTATCATTTTTTTATAGGTGGTCTCAGAAGCTGCTGGGCAAGGAGTTTCAATTGATGCTAATGATACATTTAATTACTGGAACTGGCCTAATGCTGTCATCTTTGCTGCTACGGTGATTACAACCATTGGCAAGTATCAGTTTGTCCATATGGGGGTTCATTCACAATATGGGGAAATACTATTTAATAAAATGAAAAATTGAAACATTGGAGGAAGCTGGAGGGGATTGATTATATGCTGTCTTAGTTTGGCAGCCTTCTATAATTTAATGTCTCTTTGCCTTTTTAAGACTGGCAGTTTAGAGACACAGATATTGCCATCATGAATAGCTGTACCTGCCCTAGTAGGAATAGATTCCGTATTTACTGACTTTGAATCAATCTGTTATGTAAAATATAGGGAAAGAAGCACAGAGGAAATAGAGATTTCTATGACAATATTTTTCTTTCATAGAAATGCCTAATAATTGGATTTATAAACCCACAAGCTTCTCCTGAATATATAGCAGATTATTTTTCAAAAGCTATGTATTTCAAGATGGTGGTTTACAATACCGCAGTGAAAAATTTTTTTCCCGCAGTTCTCAAGGTACTGCTGACTTTGATGGAAAAATTACAGAATAAATATGATAACAGAACTGTTGGATTACATTTTTTTTCTGGTTTGCTTTTGTGCTATCCCTGTAAGATACAGAAAAAACATGAGTTACAATGTTTGTTTGTTCTGATGCAGAACACACATAGTGCTGGAAAACAAACTGACCAGGGAAAGTGGGAAAGGGAATTAGAAACCTTGCTGCTAAATCAAATAAAGTGCCATGTTTTATTTGTTACTATTATTAAAATCTATTTCAAATATATATGATGGTTCCTCTCTTCCAATATTTCCCATAAACAATTCAAGAAAACTAATACAACATTTTTATATTCTGGCTTTCACAATGTTTACTAGAACCGGGGTACCCAACCTGTGGGCCACAGCCCAGTAGTGGACCATGAGGGGATTGCAGCTGGGCCATGGAAAGGGCCAGCAAATGCACACACATTCTGCATTTGTGTGAGTGGCAGGCACATGTGCACACCGCTCATGCAAATGGAGCAGCATGCGCACATGTGCTTGCCGGCCGCTTGCACGGAACTACCCCTTCTCCCCCCCCATCGGTCTGCAAAGCTGGAAACATTGGGGAACTCTGTACTAGAAGATGAAGTTAGATCAGCACTCCAGTCGTTAACAAAAAAGACTATAGGAACTAATGGACTATCCATTGAAATATGGCAAGCAACTTGAAGAAGAATTAGTCAAGGTTTGTTTGTTTATTCAGGTCAGAAGCATCACAATTAAAATAAGGCATACTATGTGACATAAAATTTAAAATTTAAAATATAAGATTAAAATATATACAAATTAATCAGTCAAGGTTATAACCAAGCTATAACCAACCAATCAGGAGAATGACATAGTGGCCAACAAAACTAGAAGAAATATTGTACAATATTCTTAATTTTGTAGCAAAGAAATGCTTAGGGTCCCCCAATGTAGATTAGAACCTTACATGGAAAAATAGATGTCAAATGTTCAACAATCTTTAGAAAAGAAATATGAGACTTTATTGTTGCTGCATGCAATTGAAAAAGCCAAAGAATACAAAAAAATGTCATTATGTGCTGAATAGATTATTAAAAATCCTTTGAATTGTCAATCATGTCAAGTTGTGGAATGTGCTATTAAAAACGGGAATCTCAAACATCTCATTGTCCTTGTAAGAAACTTTTAAACTAGTCAGGAAGCAATAGACTGGCTCCAGATTGGCAAAGGAGTGAGGCAAGATTATATAATCTCTATAATCTATTTATTCAACCTATATGCTGAATATGTTAAAGGAAGCTGGTTTGGAAGATGAGCATGGCTTTAAAATTGGAAGAAGAAATATCAATATCAGTAACTACTATCAATGACACTACTTTGAAAACTGAAAAAGCAAAAGATCCGCAAGCTCTAATAATAAAAGTCAAGGAGCTCAGTGAAAAAAATGGAACTAAATTAAACATAAAGACCAAAATAATGAGAACAGACCTTAGAATAGACAACTACCCTTAGAATTAACAATGAAGGTACTGTGTTAAAGTGGTGGATAGTTTATGCCTTTTAGGATCACCAATCCGTAATAAAGGAACAAGCAATCAAGAAATATGTCACAGAATAAGAGCATCCATGAAGGTCTTGGAAAAGATATTCAGACACCCTGATGTGTCTATAATTATAAAGTTCAGAATTGCAAAGGCGATGATATTATTTGTGATACTTCATGAAACTGAAAGTTGGACTTTGAAGGAGCAGGATAAGAAAGGTAGAGAAGACTCCTGAGAATATCATGGACAGCCAAGAAAAGAAATCAATCCAGAGTTGTCACTCGGGGCACAAATGACTAGGATATATTATGAAAAATATATTCTTAGAATATATTATGACAAAGACTTAACTCTTTGGAAAAGGTTGTGATTCCAGGAAAGATGGAAGGAAAGAGGAAAAGAAGACAATCAGCAGCAAGGTGGATAGACTCAGTTGTAGTGGCAAATGGTCACCATTGGAAGACCTGATAGACCATTTTAGGGACATGGGAAAAAATCTCTGTCTATGAGATTGCTAAGAGTCCACACTGACTTGATTACTCATAACCAACCTCTTAATAATAAATAGTCACTCGGCCTTGTTTTCATTCTTGCCTCTGCCCTGTTTCTCTCTTTTGCTGAGAAATTGTTGAGAGCTGAAACAATGTAATAAAACACAGGGCCCTTTATAATAGGTGATTTTCCTCCAGTTTGATGCACTGTGGAACAATTAGAGGTTTTCACTGAGAAGCTGATAGTGAGAATTGGACTAGTAATGGAAATCAAATGAGGAAAGTCTATGAAATCCACAGAAGGTAGAGAGAAAAGCAGGAATGCTTCAGTCAGCATCTTTGCAGCTGCAAATTTATTGACTGCTGTCTGAATCACTTTTCATTTTAAAAAAATATCTTCAGAGCCAGAAGCATTTTTTTTAAGTTCAAGTAATTTACACAATGCAATGCAATAATAGAATCCTTTGTTCAGGTCAGTTCTCTTTTATTACTTATTGTGTGTGATGCTGTAGACATTGGCAGTGCTATTAGTCACACATTCTAAATGATCATGTTGTACATGATAGAAGCAAATCCAACATGAGAACATCATGCATAAAACTGTCATCTGTGAATAAGCTCTATAATTTTTTTCAGCACCTAATCATAAAAGACAAATTACACCTTTTATCATGTGTGACTATCCTGGCATGATTAACTTTTTATCACAATATTATTTTTCAGGTTATGGAAATGTTGCTCCAAAAACTTCAGCTGGACGACTTTTCTGTATCTTTTATGGACTTTTTGGTGTTCCACTCTGCTTAACATGGATCAGTGCTTTGGGAAAATTTTTTGGTGGTCGTGCCAAGAGGCTGGGCCAGTTCCTGACAAAGAGAGGAGTAAGCCTGGTATGGAATTCTGTTTAATTTGCTTCTAGCACATGAAAATTATTGAAATTATATGGAATCCAATTTAAGGAAGGATTCTCTAGCATCTTCAAATCCTAACTAATAGTTAATGTGATTTTTTTAAAAATCCATTCTCCAGTTCCACACCTTTGCCCCTGGATAAAAATGCTAAACCCCCCCCAAAAAAACATAATTTCTATTAAAGGCATAATTCTTCATAATTTTGGATTTTTTGCCCAGAACTGTCACTAGGTCTTCTGTATTAACTGTTTTATAGCAAGGAATTTGATGAGTGAAAGACTATCATCTCTAAAGTAAGAATGCAGAATACTATCTAAAACAAATCTGCTTAAATTGTATGTGTCACTTTCTTGCTCCTGTATTAAAACTATGTGGTTTCATAGGATTTTCACTTTTCCTTTCTTTTAAATTCCCTAAATTTGAAAATTCTGCTTTCTCAACTAGACAGATGTTCTGCCCATCTTATGCAACCTCTGCATTTTGCTATGTCAGTTATTTGTTTCCTGTTCCTTGGTGCTGTTTATAGCTTCCTTGACTAATAAGAAAGCTGAATGTAAACCAGTATAAGCTAACAATTTATATTTTAGTGCAAATTCATCCAGTCAGTATCATAATGCCCTGATGTAAATCGATGTTGCAGCTGCATCTGGTATATTATGTCTGGCTCTGGTCACCAGACTTCAAAAAGGATATAGTATAGTCAGAGAAAGTTAAGATCAGCTGAAATGATCAAGGGGCCATAGCTGCTTCTCTATGAGGCTTTTTCATTTAGAAAGGAAATGAATGAGAGGTGACATAACTGAGGTGCACAAAATTTTAAATGGTGTTAATAAAGAGAACAATAGTGTTAATAAAATATAGGAACTAGAATTCTTATATTTTCACAAAGGGAACATAGTTTCTTGTTGTCTCCTTTATTTGCACCATTCAAAATTTTGTGCACCTCAGTTATGTTACCTCTCATTCATTTCCTCATTCACCCAGTGAAATTGAATCAGGGCAGACAAAAGAGTTTGTTTTTTAAACATAACATTTTATTGATCTTTGGAATTTGGGATGACATGATAACTACCAGCTTGGCTACTTTAAAAAAAAAATGCTGGACCAATTCATAAAAATCATGAGAATCAGAGACTTTGCATCTGAAGGTCATCTCCTGGAAACCAGCAGTCTCCTTGTGCAATTGAGTGGCCATAGTGAGAATACACTGATGAACTAGATTGACAGAGGTCCAATCCAGCAGAGCAGTGCTTATGTTCTAGGCCTGAATATTGTTTTAACAGATCATATTTTATATGGTTATAGTCTTGGAAAATGCATCTGGTGTGTCATTTTTTTTCAGTTATGAAATGTGTTACAGAGCCTCTATAGCAGGGGTGTCAAACTGCTGGCCCGCGGGCTGGATGCGTCACGCGGAAGCCGCGCCCACCCCATTGCCAGCAATGGCAAAGCAATCCCGATACGTTGCGTGATGTCACATGACGTCGTGAATTTGACATGTCTGCTCTAAAGGGAAATTAGAAATTATAAAAGTGTTCTGAAAAGGACATTTTTCAAGGAATTTCTACAATTTATTTTTATAGCTGGTGGAGTAGGAGAACACTTCACCAAGCAAAAATGACATGTTATTAATCTACCATATAGGACTTCGTGCACACACATGAAACAGGAAGTAAAGTAGAAATTTTCAACCTTGTTTCCATCTGCACAAAATAGCCAAAAATAATAGCAATTTCCTATAGCTTATAGTTAGTTATTCTGTTGTAGCTGCAAGATAGTATATCAAAAAATATGACAAGATGGATTTTCTAAATATGGGCAAAAATCTACTAAATGTAGATTGCACTGTATGATTGATCCTTCTTCCTTCCATTTATTACAGAGAAAGGCACAAATTACTTGCACAGCTATCTTCATCATTTGGGGCATTCTAGTTCACTTAGTTCTTCCTCCCTTGGTTTTTATGGTGACTGAAAAATGGGATTACATTGAAGGCCTCTACTTCTCATTCATCACCATCACCACAATAGGATTTGGAGACTATGTTGCTGGTCAGTAATAAAGCTGTCATTTGAATAGCTTCTAACGTGCAAATTTTGTGAATATGTCTTTAAAGATTTTAAAACATGCAAATAGAAATGAGCAGTACTACAAGTAATTGCAATTAAGATTAAATAATATGTTGGTCTCTGTGCTATGTAGAGACTTAAGACAAAAAAAGAGGGAAGGATAAGATGAAAAAAAAAAATCTCAGAGAACAACCATGGAACTGTGTGTATTTGCTGTTCTGCTTCCTCTAAGACAGATGATATCTACAATGCTTTCATTGTCTAAACTTATGGGTAGCCTGACAAATAAATAAGCCTATATTGTAGAATGTTATTTATTATTTGTGTGTGTTTGATATTGAAATAATCATCAGTTAGAAATAATTCTGACTGTATAATCATTTAGTTAACAACTTTGAATGTTTTTCTTTGTAATTTTCAGAGTAGACTGCTATCAGCTTAGTATCTGAGCCTCATTTGATTTCTGAGGTCACAGAAAGGGGATAAGCTAGACTTCTAGAGATTTGCTGAAACTTCCTGTAAATGTGCCATAAGCACAACTTATCCGTGAAAATGTTGAGTTTTTACTAATGGTAACAAATTTCTGGATCAATGGAACACCTACAGATGTACAGTAGCTGAATTTATATTTCTTGCACTGTCTTTTTTTTCTCTTTTTAGGTGTGAATCCAAATATGAACTATCACTCCCTCTATAGATACTTTGTGGAGGTGTGGATCTACCTAGGCCTTGCTTGGCTTTCACTGTTTGTCAATTGGAAGGTCAGCATGTTTGTAGAAGTTCACAAAGCAATCAAGAAACGAAGGAAAAAAAGAAAAGAATCCTTTGAAAATCACTCTCCCACCAAAAAAGCTCTTCAGATGTCTAACACAAAAGATATTAACATATTCAGTTTTCTTTCCAAAAAGGAAGACAGTTACAATGATCTCATTAAGCAGATTGGAAAGAAGGCTTTGAAAACAAGCAGTGACAAAATTCTCAACTCAGAGCAAACCAAGCCAACCTTACAACATACCAATAAAGATCTCAAAGTGATGTATACAAGGAACAATATGTTTGACTATGACAAGGTTTCTCTTGGACTGCAGAACTATCACGTGATGAGGCATTTGACTGACAAGCATCTTGGAGATAGCCCGGTTGAGGGCAATGTGTTTGTAAATCAGCTAGACCGGATCAGTGAAGAAGAAGGGGAAGCATGGGATTCGCGGGATTATCGACCTTTGATTTTTGAAAATGCCAACATAACATTTGTAAATGAGGATGAGGATGAAGAGGATGACCTTTCAGATGATGAAGAAACTTCAAAGTCTTCAGTGGATGACAATCTTGCACAGGAGCCTCAAACCCCCGAGAAACTGGTGAAATTTTCATCCTCTGATGAATCTACTTTTACCGGTAATGAGATGGAGATATCAGTGCCTTACGAACAGCTTATGAATGACTATAACACAGCAAATACTGCCAATGCTGCAACGTGAGAAAGGTGGGAGGGAGTTTCTTGCAATCATATGATGCAAATTTTTAACAGATAACGATCTGAATCAACAACCATAAGTGAAGAAGAAGGAATATCCTATGAGATATTTTCTGCTACTTCCTTCTATTAGCTGACTGAAAAGGTGTGTTGCCTGGATCTTGTCTATTGATGAATTTTACTCACTATGAAATAATTGTTCTAAAACCTTGAAGGTTCTCTAGGGATTTGGTGGTTCTTGAATTTAAGAGAGGAAAAGCCTAAACGTATTGGGCCTGCCTGTTCTTCCTTCCTTCCTTCCTTCCTTCCTTCCTTCCTTCCTTCCTTCCTTCCTTCCTTCCTTCCTTCCTTTCTTTCTTTCTTTCTTTCTGAGTAAAGTTCTTAAGATTGCAGTCAGACTGGTTTTGAGTTTATTGCAGGCCATGATTGCATTGGATTACTGCACTAACTCTTCAGCTCTGAAGAAACAATACAAATCATGCCACGGTTCAGAGGAGAAATTATTGATTTGTCATAATCACCACAAAACTCTTTTCATTCTCCTTTAAGGAATGCTTGAACTGGAAGAGCAAAGTATCCTGAAGGCCAGAGTTGAGATACATGGGTGGCTTGACTAGTTTCTGTCTAAGTTAATAAATATAGCTCTGTTGAATTATGAGCTGAAGTTCATGAACAAATATACTAACTTGAAACACAGGATCAATCTACTGGAAGTATGGATCTTGTATGGACAAGAAGCTGAATATTTCCAAATGTTCTCAGTGTTTATGAAAAGCACATATAACTGATTGAAATAAGTAAAACAGAATGGTGCAAGAAGATACATAGAGGACATTTAAAAATGAAGAAAAGCACAGTGACAAATTTCTCTTTTGCATCAGAAGTGCTCTTTCACCATCCATACTTTATACTTGAATGAACTTCATTTATAGGTCTAAGTGAAGTTTAAAGGAACTCTGCTTTTGAATCAGTGTATCTTATTGAATAGGTTGAATAGCTGAAGTTCCATTTGAAGGATTTAATAACTTTCTTCTTTGTTCTGTCAGTGGCTCCATTTCTATAAAGTTTTCCACTCCATCCAGTACTTTTGAGTTGGTAATATTGGTAATATTGTCTTATGAGCTGAAATACCACCAGTATTTCAGCTGGCTTTCTAAATAAGATATTAGCTTATTTTTAATGAACTCCCTTAACACAAAAGAAGGAATATGAGAAGTATTACAGAAGTAACAAAATGTAATTGTCACATCAAAATTTATCCATCTTTTTATATTGCTGTGAAACTGTCACAATTATTGGGATTATTTTTAAAGTAGAAAACTGCCTCTGATTTTTAACTTTCTACTGAAAAACAATTCTCAATAATATTCTAGCAGTATAAGTACTGTAGCTACTTGGATGATTTACACTCCAGTGTAAATCTTTTATGTTATAGTTCGGTGGCTTTAGTCTAGAAATGGAATGAAAATTATGGCAATTGAAAACTTGGGGAGAGGATTTCGGAATTGAAAATGGTAATAAGGCCAAGTGGAATTTTGGGGTACTAATTGTGAATAATAACATTCAAATCCACTCAATTGCTGTAATTTTGACTATGTTGTGAGAGTGGATGTATTCTATTATCTTTAGAAACATGTCTCTAACTAGATGAACACTCCTGTTAGCAAACTCTTCTTGAACAGACAGTTTTAAAATATTTGTTGAAAAAAGTCCATTCCTGTTTTGAATTGTATACAGTTTGTGCATAAATGTTTGTAGAAATGTAATTACTAAGGAACCCAACAGTTGTATTTTCACACAGTTATTTCATTGAAGGTTCCAGTGTTACCCTTTGGAGGCTATTCTTGTTACTCACTAAAACATGGTAGCTATTTTGACTAGATGGTTCCTTGAAAAACAAGGTTGATTTTTATTGCTATACAGTAAACCATCTTTATCATCAAACAACTCAAAGACCCAGAGATGCTGCCTTAAATTTACATTTCTAATTGTGCGGTTCTTAGTAATGAGTATCACTTGTGTCATGTGACAAAACTATATATGGAGGTCCTGAAAGTAACTTTTTCAAGCTGATGTATTCTGGGATATATTTCATAAATGAGTGGCTAAAAGTTTGCCTCTGCACTAAAGAAGCACACAGTAGTGTGTAAAATGAATGTTATTAAAGTTTTACAACATTTTAAATACAGTACAGGAACAGAAAGGTGAGAATGCACGATAAGTGTATGTTGCTGCTTTTAGGGTGACTGTTGTGTTGGATTGTTTAGGTGCTGGATTGCACAGGTAGACAGATGTGAAATGATACAAGTTTGAAACAGCTTGCATCTAGAAATAAGGTCCTTTCTAAAATTCAAGCTTGGTGCTGCTCTTCAGGTTTGATGCACAGGGTATTAATACCTTCCTTTAAAAGTGCCCCATAAATCTAGGGATTTGTCTAGCTGTTAAATAAGCATCATGTTTTTAAATTTAAAATCAAGATAAACTTGATAGCTAGACTTTGATTTGCTATTTGGGGGAAGATCTCATTAGTGGAGATTTATTCCAAGTGCTTGGACCATTGACAAGAGCCTTAATTCTTAATAATTCCATTTTGTGCCTTGCTACAGGTGAAAGGACAAAATGTACTTACTCACTGTGACTAGCAAAAAGATGTATGAAATGTTTTATTAACTGCATAATGTCTTTAATTGCCCTTTATCTGAGTACAATTTTCCAGCAGGCATTACATGGTGATAACTTGGCCCTATTAGAGAATTGATCTTTCTTACTGATAGGAAATATTGTCTTCCATGTTTTAAGAAAAGCTAGATTTTTTGTTCTGAGTCTTTATTTATGGTTTTGGACAAATAAATTAAAGATGATGACAAAGGAGACAATTTTTGTACTGAATGTAGAATTGGATGAAGTAATTATTAAAAAAAAATCATTCAGAAAGAAGGTACCTAATAGTAGTATCTTTGATTCTCTGGCTCCTTGACTACATTTTAGAAAGAATTTGCATAAGATGAAATACCCTGGAATGTAAGATTTACAAAACACTACTGCATTTTTATTGGAGAGGGAGGAGTGTACAGTTTAACAGAGCTAACCAGATCAGTTTTGGGCTCATGTTATGTAGCTGTTTACAGAAGACATTTAAAAAAAATGGTTGCTAACTATCAAAAGCACCAGAGCATCAATAGTATTCATATGTTTCAATATAAGAGGGAGGGGCTCTTCCTAGTTATCTCTATAAACTGTTGATCGTGAAGCCCTAATACTGCTTTCTCTGTTTTCCCCTATAACCAATATTGTGAGTTGGATCAGAAATACCTAGAACCTAGCTAGGTAAACTTCACTGTGTTGTTGTTGGAAACTAAAATTGTTTCAGAAGTTGAAGCAATGAGATGAGTTCTTCATATTACTCAGTAGAATTTTCCCATAACCACAATTAATTAAACCTGGTAGTATTTCCTGGGGTTGTTTCCAATAATGATATGGCAAAATGATAAAGAATGGAAACTACTCTTACTATTGATTTCCAAGTATATTTAATACAAAACTGATTCACAGTTTCCATAACAGGTTTATGTAAAGCACGCACTACTCATACTTACTTTAAAATGTGCCATTGAAAGAACAGAGTATAGTATGCTGTTAAGCAAGAGTGAAACATTTCGAAAAAGGTCCTCTTTCTTTGCAGATATGATTAACTCCATTGCTGGCAATGGATATATCATAACATAACAAAAACACAGCCCATTCTTATCGTTTTCTATCCCTAAATGTGGCCTGGTTTATCACTTTCATTTATAGGATGTTACCCTTTGCATCTTTTTTAATTGGAAATAAAAAAACAATTCATAAAAATTCCTATTGAGACATAAATTTTGCCTACCAGTTTGACCTATCTTTATTTTTTACATCTTCTGTGTTGCACTGAACTCCTAGAACTAAGGCATCACTGTTTCAAATAGTTCACAAATTCTGTACAGTCTTGAACTCATCTCTGTCACTCCATCACATAAAGAGACACAAGGGTTTTTTTGATCTGTTCTTTTTTGCTACTTTGTCACTGGAATCACTGTATGTAAATACTAGACTTTATAAAATGTAATTTATTTTAACATTTTTTCAATAAAAATGAAGGTTTTTTTTTAAAAAAAAATACCCAATGTCTTCATTCTTTAAGGGACTAGATGAGAAATGAACTGTAATGGCTTTCTTCCATTTAATTAACATTTTGTTGAAAGTTAGCATTGACATTGAACATTCATAAAATACATGTTTAAAATGTACTTTCAGACCACCATACAATTGGACAGAAGCCCATTTTATCGTAAATAACATAATAAAATGGCTATTTGAAGGGGACATGCTCGATATTTGGGATAAATTTTGGGATTTTCACCATAGTATTGGCTAACATAACCATTATCACTTAGCCCTCACCTATTCACTACAATTGGAACCGGCAATTCCATCACTAAACAGCACAAACTGAAATGTGCCGTGACTATGATGTCAGTTCTGCTTCTGTTTTTTAGGCGTGATGTCACAAGTGATCAGCACTTATGACTTCTTGTCAGCTTCCTAATGCTGGTTGGAAGCTGGCTGTGAAGGTCACAAATGGTGGTCACATGACCATGAGACACTGCCACTGTAAATGCACATTATTTGCCAAATGCCTGAATTGTGAATACATGATCATAGGGATACTGTGACAGCCTCAACTTCATAGACGAGTTGTAAGTCTCCTTTTTAGTGCCATCATAACTTCAGTTGCTGAATGGTTGGTAAGCAACAACTCCCAATATCTCAAAGCAGGAAAAGATTAATAAAATGCATTGACTAACCTGCTTGCAAAGCATGTTATTCACATCTCACTTTTCCTCCAGGAACTCAAAGCCAGTATACATAGAATCCTCTCCATTTTTTTTCTCCTCAACAACCCTATGAGGTATATTGAACTGAGAAAGACTAACTGATCCAAAGTCAACTTCCATGGCAGTGGGTGTCTCTGATTCTAGTCCAGCATCATAACCATCATACCACACTCATGTCTTGGATGTCTGCTCCAAATGTATCTCTTTTCAAAATTAAGTGTCCTTTGTTAGAGCTCTACTTTGTATAAGGCTCATTCCCATGAATTCTAATGATTGTTTCATTTAATCCATCCCAGTACTTACTTATATTTGTTCTGGCATGCATGTGTCCTGCTACATGATCCTAACTATATTGCGTGTTCCCATATACAAAATCTTTGCAATAGCACATTTCAAGAAAGGGGGACATGCTTAGAAATGCAGGAGAGAGCTGTAATTCATCAGAGAGAAAACAATTCTGAATAAGAGTGTCTGGAAAGGACATTAATTCATAGACTTTTCTTCACAAATGTCTGTTGGCTGAAGCAAAGATGTCAAATCTGGCCCGCTCCCAGTTTCTGTACATCCATTGAGCTACAAACGGGCAGGAAGCAGGAGATTGACAAGCCTGAATCTCAGCCAAGCTGTCAGAACGAAGGATATAGTCAAGGAGCTGGGTGGCAATGATTATCAATTCTGGGGAGCTCATAGCAGTAATAAAATTACAAACTGTAAACATAAAATCAAAGTATCATAAGCACAATTTTATGCATGAATATAACTTGCAAGGAGTGAGAATTTGGAAGATGGCCCTTATTTGAGATTCAATTTTCTTAGAAAGAAGTCATTGGATTAGTATTAATTTATTTGCATATGCACATGCAGATGCCAAAGGTGAGGGATGATGGGAAGCGCTGCCAGATACTTTGTGGAAATGTGGATGTGTATCTTTTTCCATCAGGCAACTCTTAGGACATAGCTGGGCTGGCTCCAACCAGACCACATTCTTTTACAGGGCGGGGTTTCCATTAGAAACCTACATCTTGAAATCAAAAATCTTGAGCTCCTTCCATCATAAAGGGTGATTCAGGCCAATCTCAAATCTACAGTATGTGCCATCAAATGACTTTTATTTTTTTTTTTCAGGCAGAGAAAGTGAAAAAAACTTCACAAATTAAATCTACTATTTTTGAAAGCATAGGTGACACATAGAGGAGTACTAAACATATTTGGGCCAATTAAAATTCTTAAATGGTATAAGCAGGGGTCACCAACCTCTGGGCTGTGGCCCACTAGTGAGCCATGAGCTGTTTGCAACTAGGCCATGGAAATGGCAGGCAAGTATGCATGCATGTGTGCACATGCGCAGCCTCACTTGTGCAAGCAGCAGGCGAGTGCATGCATGCACACTCCATTTGTGTGAGCACAAATGGAGCTGCGCACACATGCTTGCAGGCTGCTCACGCAAACCATCCATTCTCTCCCCTCCCTACCCATTTGCAAAACCAGAAAGATTGGAGAACTCTAGTATAAAGGTTGAAAAATTTGGAGAGGGGTTGCTACATCATTGTGTAGTAATTTTATAGAGTATATACTTTCAGACTCTGCAAAGCCTTTGTTAGATTTTGTTGCTATTTTCCAGTTATACAGCAGTAAATATTTGCAGACAAATGCCTAAAGAACTACATTCAGAGAATTCATAGATTGTGTTATCAGTGTATAGTAACTTTGGAAATATGCAAGGCCTCAATATGTATCTTAAAAATATTTCAGAGTAATTATGGATCTTTATAATTGTTGATTGTTATCTTCTTAAGAAGTAAAAACGTCTTAGGTTTATGGCTTTTATCTCCTTGTAATCAGTTTCTGGGAGTATTTGGAAACAATGTTCTCTAATGATTGTTAACATTGATTATAGTTTAAAGGAGCTATGTTTGTCTTGTTTTTCAAGATTGGCAATGTGACCTACATAACTGACAACCTGGGCTGTATCGGTATACCAGATGGATTGTCAGAGTCAGATTAAGATTAAAGAAATCTGAATAATTGGCCATAAAAAAATCCTGAATTATTTTGTATCAATCATTGGCGAGAACCACACAGTATATCCATTATAATAAATACAAGCTATAATAAATAAAGTTGAATTTTGTTTTTGACATCACACAATATATAGAGCCAGTCATGATTTATAGGCTACTGTGTTGATTGAAACTAACCAGATGTGGCTTACCCAACAAGCTATTGCTTATTGAAAACTGTGACTCATATTACTGTGTCTGTTTAACCTGTTTAGGATTACTATGATGAAGGGGGTGGAGAATAGATTGATATATACTCCTTTGAGTTCCATAGATGACATGAGGTAAGCATGTAGGAACTGTTGATAAATATATGAAGAATACTGAACTTAACTTTTGGTCCTCTAAATTTAATTTGATCATCTACAGTAGAGAATTAAAGGACTGAATTGAAAAACAAACATATAATGATGGATGAATGGGAAAACCAAGAAAGTTGTGGTTGGATCGAGGTAATGAAATCTTATAAAATACATAGGTAAGAAATTCAAAGATCAAAAGAGAATATACAAAGAAATGTATGGACATGAAAGAAGCAAGGATGTTTTGCAAGGATAAAAGTTATGGGAAAATAGAACTAACTTCTTTAACTACTTTTCCTTTTTTCTTATTGCATGCCTTTAATTTATTTTACTTACTTACACCTTTTCTTTCTCCTATCTGTTTTATCGTACTTTTTGCATTTTACATAACTTTGATTACTGTGAAAGACAATAATGTGACAGATGCATATCATGTGAAAAATTATATAGAATGATTTTTTTGCTTTTCAAGATTCTATTCTGCTTGGTCCTTACATTAATTCAGACTCTACCTTGACTTATTACTTTTGCTCCATTTTCCATTTTAGAAAATAAATATTTTGACAAAATGATAAATGTAGGCTTAACAATATAGGTTTCCCCCTCCCCCAAAAATGAGCTCCCCTATATAAAGCAATTATAGATACACATTACATTTAGATTTGACATTTAGCCGAACTCCCTCTTCTAATTCATATGCTCAGCAACTTATTAACTTATTCATACTCTTATCAACTTATTTCTGATTGTGGAGATTGTAATGCTGCACTATTGTAATTGTGCTGACATTATTCACTTTGTGAAGGGTTGGTTTATTTAACAATGTTTTTTAGAAAGTACAGCTGGCTGGATTCAGACAAACTATTAAATTGTAACTACAGTATATATAAATCACAAGGAAAGCATACGGATTGATATAGTAATTTTAATAATAGTATTAGTAATATAATATTTACAATCACCATCAGTAAATTTTAAAAGGTAATGTCATGGTTCTGGTAGATGAGACCACATAAATCAGAACTCCAAGGCTGGAGATTTTCTCAAAGAACATGTTTATTGGTTAAAAAGTATTGGCACAAACAAAAATGAAACCAAGTCAAAAATTCCCCCCAAAGAGTTACACTATTACAAAGTTAAACTTCCCACCCCAATATGATGCAATCCACCACGTTTCCCAGTACTGTAACTTTCCCTTATACAATCTCAAATGGAGAATGTGTTTGATTTCATAATGGGATTCCCCTTCAAATAAAATGGGATCCAGTGCTTTCTTAAGGATTGGCTGTAGTGAGGATTCTCTGTCAGGCTTTAGCAAACTGCAGTAAAAAAAACAGGGTGAATTTTTCCTAATAAATGAGGAAGTTTCAATTCAGCTGTGACAGGATTTATAAGTTTAGTTATGGGGAAGGGGCCAAGGCATTTTGGTTCTAATTTCTTGCTAGGTAATTTGAGCCTTAAATATTTGGTAGATAAGTAGACTTTCTCCCCTACATAAAACACTCTCTGAGGGGATCGCTTCTTATCAGCTTGTTTCTTATACATTTTTGTGGCTTGGGCTAAGGCTTTGTTTACATTGGCCCAAATACCCTGCCACAATGTCACCCACTGGTCTAAAGTTTGCGAGACAGGGGGTTCCTGTGGATAATCAGACATAGGAACAATCTCTCAGCCAGTAGCTATTTTGAATGGGGTAAGTCCAGTCCTGCTGTGCTCTGTATTATTATATACCACTTCAGCAAAAGGCATGAGGTCAGTTCAATTAGTCTGTTGGTAATTAACATAACATCTGAGGTATTGCTCCACCATTGCATTTATACATTCAGCCGATCCATTCGTGCTTGGATGAAAAGCCTATGAGAGCCCTTGTGTGGACCCAATTAACTTGATAAAGTCTCTCCAGAACCTTGCAGTAAATTG